TGTATCCTAAAAATCCATCATAAAGGTTGTTTTGATGTTGAAAAACCTTCTAATTGAACCATCCCAGTTCACTGTATGGAGTAGGGCAATTTTTTAGTTTCACGAAAGATATTTTTCTTTTGGGATTGTATACAATGAGATTATTTACCTTTGATACAATGAGATCACAATTACTTACAATCATCCGATGTAAAATTTGATAGCTTGGGCGTATCACCGAGTTCAAAAAAATTTGTTTTAAAGTTTGAGCTTTGTCAATGAAATAAATGCAGCTATCTAATTTCACATCAAATGGTCAAGATCAATTGTAACTACCTTGTAACAAAAATAAATGGTCTCATTGTATACTCTCTTTTCGTTTTGTTCATATCTTTCTTTTTATTTTTGGACAATTTATGCTACCTTCCTCGAATCGATGGGCCCACTCGAGAATCAATAAGCCTACTTGCCTCGGCAGGCCCCGGGTATGCACCCGGTTCCTGCTTTATGAACACTAGTCTAAGACGGGAATGAAGATGAAAAAAACAGAGCTAAAGAGAAGTCCAAATTTGAAATAGAGTAAAAGAAAGATCAATTCTCCAAAATATATATTAAAAAAAAAAAAGGGACATGTTTCAAGCTTGATTTGTTTTTCAATATGCAACAGTGTGTTTTTACCTTTGGCTAAACCTTCTTCCCAAGCAGTCTATGCATTTTCGACCTTCTGTCATTTCTCCCATTCCTATACGAACACAGCTTCCGCAATATACCCTTCCACATACCTATACAAAAGGTTGTATAAAATCATAGACAATTTATAAAAATACATCTCATTTTTCAACAAATTAACATACATACCTATACAAAAGGTTGTATAAAATCATAGGCAATTTATCAAAATATATCTCATTTTTCAACAATTTAACATTTTATATTTTTTCTATTGATCTAACTCAACATCGATATCATTTTGAGGGATATTTTGAAACTAAATCAAATCACATAGGTAAAATGTTAAATAGTTAATACCTTAAGCGTATTTTGACAAATTTTCAAGAAGTTAATGATCTGGTTCAATAAACCAAATTATCAACAAAGGGGCTACTTTTAAAGCTGATTTCACAGAGGTACCTCTTCAGCCATTTTGTTAGAAAATTCTCGGACTGCCCTGATGCCGAGATTGGAACCTGAATAGATTATAGGTATTTGGATAATAGTGGCTTGAGTCAAATAATATAAATACCCTAGAATTTTTTGAATTCTAAACTTGAAATAAATTTTCTTGTTTCAAAATTATGATCCAAGGTTCAAAACCAAAATAACTAGGAGTGTTTACATCTTTTGGCTGAAGTGACTTAATTGGGTCCAAATACCGAATTACCCCCACTTTTCCTAAGTTCCAAGCTCGAAACAAAAAAAGTTTTAAGGGAAAAAAATATATTTAAAAGGATTTTGAACCCAAAAGAAGCACGAGTATTTAGGTTATATAGCTTAAGTGACTTATATGACTTAAATTACCAAAAACCCTCTCCCTTGCATAAGAGATTACAAACCAACAACAACATTTTTAACAAAATTCTAGAAGAGGTAACTAAAATAAAGGATTTTTAAAAAGTTACCATTTGTTAATAAAATTATTTATTTAACCATTTCATTAATTTTCTGAGGTAGTTTGACCAATTTTAATGATATTTTCCCTTCCAAATATTTGTTCACTTGGGGATAAAACGTTTTCAAATCAAGTCAGCTTGTTTCGGTTAAGTTAAGGGCCATGTTTGATTAATAAAGTTTCTAACATTGTCAACCAAAAAATAAAACAGAGTGAGCATGTAAATGTTAATAATAATAAAAAAAAAAAAAGAGTGAGATCAAAAGTAGTAATTTGAAAGGATTTTCAACTCTGTTCAGATAATGAATTTGTGTTAAAATAAAAAAAAATAAAGAATATTTACCAGGCATCGGTGCTTGAACATGTAGATGTAAGCACTACAAAGGGTGCAAATATTAGTGTGAGGGATCCCTGGCCTCTTTCTATAAGGGCTCCTAGAGAAGGAGTCCATGGCACTGGCCTCATCATAAACACTGCTACGCTCTCTCCCATTTTCCAATCCTAACCTTATGGGGCTAGCCAAACTATACGCCAGAGGCGGCTCGAACCCGCCTTGCGATGCTCGTAATCCCTTCATGAAATCAAGGCTCTCCGACTTGCTAAGGCTCGAGCCCTTCAACATGTCCCCTGGGGAATTTTCATAAATTAGTTCCCTCTTGTCATTTTTCCAATGATTCCCGACCATTTCATCAGTTCTTTGGCCAGACTCAGGCGAGCCATCGATTCTCCTGACGGATTCTGGGGACGTACGACTTTTCCTACTATTTTCCGTGGATAACTTCGATTTTATGCCCGCGAGGTCCTTAAAAGTGAGGTTAACAGAATCATCAGGAACTCCTGCATAGAGCTCTTCTAGCTCTAGCCTTGCCTTTGTTAGAGTTGCCTTATCTCCCATTTCCTTTGAGAACTGGAACTTGGAGTAATGAGAATGAGGTTGGTTTTCAACTGGTTTTTGTTGGATGAAGGCTTTCTTGTAGAGGAAATTTCTAGTTATGAATTAAGGTTGGTTTTTGATTGGGTATTCTTGGAAGAAGGTTTTCTAGTAGGAAAAATTTGTAGTTACGAGAATTAAGGTTGGTTTAGAACTGGGTTTTGTTGGAAGAAGGTTTTTCTAGTAGGAAAAATTTGTAGTTATGAGAATCATGGTTGGTTTTGAACTGGATTTTTCTTGAAGAAGGTTTTCTAGTACAACAAGTTGATATAATGACAAGAGAAGAGAGGTTTAGGCCGGTTTAGAGGACTTATAATAAGGTTGATTAAGATATAATCCATGTGTGTTTGTCTCTATGCCTTTGATTTTTGTTGCTTGCCGGTTTTCACGCAACCGAAGTTGTTAAAATGGATATATTAGTGTTAGGCCGGCCAAGTAAATTAAAGTTCAGGTCCTATTATTCCTATGCTGCAGTATGTTTATTGAATTCCTTTTTCTAACGGCTTAAGGACAATAAATTTAGCTAAGATGAACGTTTTGACTGATTTTTTTGTTGTTTACTAAGGTAACTTGTTACTTGGTCTCTCTCTGTCTCACTTGCGTGTGTGAGAGAGTTGTGTATGAGAGAGAGTGTGTGTGGAATTGGACTTAAGTTTGAGTGGTTAGCAGTTGATATTAACTAATGCTGGGTCTAGAGTTTGATTCTTACCGCTGAACTACTCAAAAAAAAAAAAAAGGTGGTGCTTGAGAAAGAAAGATAGTCTTTTGTATGATAGATATATACGTTGTTGAGCGTATGAGAGAGATATATACATTGTTGAGTGTATGAGAGAGAGAGAGATAGTCTTTTGTATGAGAGAGATCTACATTGTTGAGTGTATGAGAGAGAGAGAGAGAGATTATCTTTGTAATGCTCTGATTGATTAATGAAAGTTTGGAATATTGTCAAAGAGAGAGAGAGAGAGAGAGAGAGAGAGATTACCCACATTGACCAAGACTTGAACACTAAACTTCATTCTTTCTTCTGTGTTGCAATAATTTATTCCACCAATATGCATGGTTCCTTGCTAAAATTGCTCATAACTACCTGTATCTATCTTTCTCTTTAAGAAGAACCCAAAGAGCCAAAATTGCTTCTGAGAAAGCAAGAGCCTCTTCTAGACAAATTATATGTATACATATACAAAGTACAAAATAGCTTTGGATCTAGAAACCGGTGTCCCAAACTTCAAAGGAGAGCTCAAAAAATCGAACCACCTCGGAAATCGACCAAAGACTGGGTCCAAGTAACCGGTAATCTAGCCAATTCAACCGGCCTAACCAGGCAGATCCCGACCGGCCCAAAAAGTGTAAAAAAAAAATACAAAAAAATCCAGAAAAAATAGAAAAAGTATATTTAAAACATGATAAACAACTCAAATCCAAATGTAATTGAAAAATAGTGATCTAGAAACCGGTGTCCCAAACTTCAAAGGAGAGCTCAAAAAATCGAACCACCTCCGAAATCGACCAAAGACTGGGTCCAAGTAACCGGTAATCTAGCCAATTCAACCGGCCTAACCAGGCAGATCCCGACCGGCCCAAAAAGTGTAAAAAAAAAATACAAAAAAATCCAGAAAAAATAGAAAAATTATATTTAAAACATGATAAACAACTCAAATCCAAATGTAATTGAAAAATAGTGAAAAAAAAAAAAAAACCTAAAATATTGATTGTGCCCAAAGGGGTATTTTTGAAATATCCTTAAAAAAAATGAAAAAATATAAAAATAAGTATTCATAGCCAAAACACTTTCTAATTTTTACCAAAATTATAAATAATTCAAAAACACATTACAAATACATCCCTTATTTTAGGGGATTTTTTTTTTAAATACGTGAACAGACCACCAAAATCGACCAAACCAGAGTAGGCTAGTGCCCGGTTCTGGTTTGACCGGCTGGTTCAAAGTTGGACTGAGTTTACGAACACTGCTTCAAAGTTTGCATGGACAAACACAAATACATGCCCGCATGGATATATGCATATAGGTATTGTGGATGACAGAAACAACAATATAGATTGAAAACTAGACAGAACTAGTTATTGTACTGTATTGAAGGTTAAGATCGTGATGGTAGCACCACTTGTGTCCAACTAAGGTCTAAGCTTCCATGCTCACCTAAAGCATTCAAAAAACTAGTTACTGTACCAACACTTCACAATTGCAGAAAATGTAAGAATCCGCAACGCACTCGCAATGATCAACTATTGATCAGATTATTATGATACCACGTCTAAATGAGAACATAAATTGAAATGGAAACACCAAGTTTTGTGTTTCCAAGTTTTGAGCTTTTTCAAGTGTGAATTAGAATTGTATAGAACGCGACTTACATGATTCTTTCAATCATTTCCATTTTAGAGACATAATCAGTGATATCAGATTCGCAATAAACACCAAATATAACAAAGAGAAAAACGGGAAAATGAAAGAGAATATGAAACCTGAAACAAAAACAAGGGAGAACCTGCATTGAGCCAGCCCCTGCTTTGCTTGTCAAACCACAATGCAGGTAGACTCTTTATATCTATATTAGCATCCAACCTAGCATTTTGTAACCCAAGCTAACATTTTGTAACCCAAGCTTGCATAGGTGAAAGTCCACATTACGAAAAGGAAAAACAAAAGGAGAAGCAAATAGCTGTTAAAAGAAATAAAGGGAAATTATACTATAGTCCAAAGGATTGCGGAAAATCCTTATCCCCCAGTGAAATATGTTAATACAATGAAATGGTGGTTGGCAATGGAGGGCGAGAACCACTAGAACAGGACAAGACACCAACGGCGCGTCCCACTCTCTCTGTTGCCATCCATCATATCATCGGGCGGTCATGACCCCAAAAGACCATAATTTCCCATACTCCATAGAATTATAAAACACTCTCAACCCCCATAAAGAAGAAACAATACTTCATCATACTCAGTGTAATCACCCGGCATCGCTCATGGCCTGATGGTCTGAAATGTATAAGCCCTCAGCAAAATTACCATTTTGTGCCTCGCCCTCACTTGCCAAGCTCGTGAGCCCTTGTTGCTTCAAATATGTCTCTAATGGAAGGTTTGCCTCTCTGAGAAGCCTCAACATGCTCACCCTCGACGATCCAGCAACCCCAAGTCCCTCCTCTTCCCTCTCAGGCTGACAATTCAAATCAATACTCCCCTTACCCACCTCCTTACCCAAAATTCCACCCACACTCCCCACCCCTTCCAACTCCTCTGGACCACCGTGCTCCCCCTCTAGACCACCACTCTCCACCTCTGGACCACCACGGTTCCCCTCTGGACCACCACAGTCCCCATCCAAACCACTCTGCTTTTTCCTGGCTGTCTCTGCCTCTCGCTCTGACTGCCTCTTCTTTCTACGCATCATTAAAGTTTTGAACCTCCGTTTCACTGTCATGCAAACGTTGCATGTGCATGTAGGTTTGTGTTTTGGACCTTTTCCACTTGGAGGTTGGATGCACACTATGCATGTACATCCTGGGCGGTGCCGTGGGTGCTTGGTGGTGGGTGCCACGGAGGGCCCGGCTGCTGAGCCCTCATCTTGGCCTAGTGCGGCCACGGTGGCCAATGCATCAAGGCCTGATATCTCACGTTGCGGTTTCCTGGCCTCCGTTACTTTGCGCCTTTTTGAGTCTGCACAAAAAGTGGAAATTGAGGAGATGGTCTTGGCTTGCTCTTATTAAGGAAACCATACACATGATGTGCACACGGTGTAATGCATAGGAAGGCCATCAAACACCCCTTGTTAAGATGGTTGATGGAGATGAACCAAATTTCGGATGACAGGACTATAGTTGATCTGCACTATATGTTTGAAAAAACAGCATTTTTGGTACTGTATTAGCAGACACATCACGCATGGTAAGGTAAGATCTGGAGCATCCAATGAGACGAACCATTATAAGAATGATTATCGCATGTATGACCGCTGAAAGTGTTGTGTCAATCTGTTTGATTTCCATTAAAGAGAAGTGCCTCTGCATTGGAGTTAAAACAGGTACTTTCCACTTTTTTTAAACACCCATAAGCAGCGGTCTTTCCGGTGTGTGCATGCTTAAAACGGTGTAAAAGGAGGCTTCCATAGAAGCTGCCAATATACATTCCTGAAATCACCTAAAATGCTGCCAAAAACCGCAAGTGGAGCGCATTTTATGGCAGCATTTAGACAAGCTTTATAACTTCAAAATCACAAATATTTTTAGCCTTTTACTAAATTCTGCCAAAAATGGACAAATCATCCAAAGTTTCCTCATTTTTGGAAGAAAGAAACATAATTGTATTCAAATGCTCTCCCAAAGAAAAGCATTCTCTAACTTTGATATCCAAATAGGGGTAACATGTGCGATTTGCCTCTTAGTTAATGGTCCAGGCTTAGGAGGGGTAATGTGGTCATTCATTATTCATATCTCATGGAAACATATTAAAAAGGCACCTGAGTATAGGGAGGCTACTTTTGCCTGATCTAGAGCTTCATAAATGCCTTAATTTATAGGGAACATAGCAATAAAATGGTCAACCCCGTGAAAAGAACAATAAGGTGGTTAAATCAACCCATTTACCAACAAATGGTTATTTTTTAATAATCATTTCACATAGATACTTCCTCAATTATTTAGTTAGAAAATGCCCATACTGTCCCTATTCCCAGTTTGGAACCCTAAAAAAATAAGGGCATTTTGGTAATTTTACCACTCAACCAACTCAAACCAAATGACCTAAATATCCCAGCTTGTTCTACGTTTGAAACCCAAAAACAAACTTTTTTTTATTAAAAAACTTCTCCGATATAGGACCTAGGAACAAGCGGTTGCATTCACATCTTTGGTTCAGGTCGCTTAAGTGGTTCCAAATTACCAAAACACCCCCTCTTATTCCAGGTTCCAAACCGCGAACAATATATTTCATAAAAAAACATGTTTTGCGTTTAGGACTCGTAACAAGAAAGGACATTTAGGACATTTGGCTCAAGTGACTTAGGCAAGTCATATTACCAAATTGTCCTCCCTTGTTTAAGGTTAAAAACCCAAAAGAAAGGCAATTTGGGCATTTTTGAACGAAGTAATTAGAGGCACCTAAATAAAATGATTTTTAAAATTAACCACTTTGTTAGTAGAAAATTTCCTCATTGATTTTTTGAGGTGGTTTGAATATTTCAATGATGTTTTTCCCAATTTATTTGAAAGAATCGGGATATTTTAGTTACATGCACCATGACATAAAATAAAATGATTTTTAAAATTAACCACTTTGTCAGTAGAAAATTTCCTCATTGATTTTTTGCGGTGGTTTGAATATTTCAATGATGTTTTTCCCAATTTATTTGAAAGAACCAGGATATTTTAGTTACATGCACCATGACATACCTATACGCTGTCTGAGAAGACCCTCAAGCTCTTCTATGTTCACTTCTTCGGGTGCAGAACACAAACATCTGCAGACCAGTCGCACAAAATGAGAAGTTTTCTTCAGTTGACTTCATGTATCTAGTTCTTCATGAAATAAAAACACCTAATTATAAAACCAAAAGTAACTTTGAATATGCCTCCAGCTAAAATATCACTATTTCAGATGAGAATTCGATCAAAGGCAACACGAATACACACAAAAAGGAATATATACACTATCTCAGTGAATGAGCATGTATATTGCGCATGCACTCAATATATTGTATTGGACGTCAAATATCAAAATCGTATATTAGAAACATATAAAGCATATACAATCATTTTGCATTCAACATCATATAGGTCATTAGGCCCAAACAACTACCTGCAAACATCTAATGGTGCATTTGATTATGAGAAGGCACGGCTTTGGAAACTGCATCTTCTCAAAGAATAGAAATGACTGCTTCCATGGGGGCCCCCATGGAAGCAGCCATTTCCTGTTTTCAATGTTGTTTTGGTGCCATGGGGTACTGCGGCTACCAGAAAAAATCTAGCACTTCCCATGGTAAAATAAGGTATCCTGCGGTGCCCAAAAAACATGCAGCACTTCTCGTGCTCAAACAGGAAAGTGCTACAGTTTTAGGAAGTGTTGGTTTCCAAAACCGCCACTTAAAAAATAAAGCACGCCTTAAGAAACCAGATGTGTAGCCTAAAAACTCCAATACTCACCTCCTTGGGTCCCATGCGTTATCAGTGCATGTCCACCTAGGAGGGATAAGAGCATCAAAGGGCAACTTCCGCCATCTATAGCAATTATCGCATTGGGCCCACTGATCGTATCCTCTGTAATAAGAAATTCCACAAACATCACATTAGATAACAGCCTTCAGTAACTGACATTACAGAGTACCATGCAAAAAGATCATAATATTTACAAGTGTCACAAATTACAGTGTTACTTTTTCCTTTAGTAGGTAAGATGGCTTAGTACCTACAACTTCAAAGATGTGCTTCTAGTTGAGAAATGGGATTGAACCCACAGCTCAACTAGAGGCTATAACCTTCACATTGGAGCAAGGTTTAAAAAAACGGATTGGTGACCCGGATCGTCCTCATCCATACCCGTGTCAGATCGGTGTATCAGTGTGTTGGATCAAAGAATCGGCCAAATCGACAAGTTTTTGTCCCAAAATGTTTTCAAACAATCACTATAAATATCTAAAAATAGTGTTCTTTCAGTTTCTAAAAGAAATTAGGAGTGTTGCATTATGTACTTTCATTACTTTGTAAAAATAGGTGAACATTGAAACTAAAAATAGGTGAATACTGAGACACTATTTTCCTATCTGGATGTCAATGTAATTATTAATTATAATGTAGTATTATAATATCATATCAAAATAATTTAAAAATATTAGAAAACACTTTCATATTATTAATTATAATATAGTATTATAATATTGCATTTTGGATTTTGGAATTTGACAAAGCACATATTCATTAAGAAATTTTGTTTCTTTTTTATTATGAAATTAGAAAGTGAGAAATTTCAAATAATTAATTTGTAAATGTTATTTTTTAGGAATTTGAATATGGAAAAATTAAATGGCTATTTTAAATCAACAAAATTAAAAGGCATTTGTTATATGATAATGACGCACATACTATCTGAATATGGAAAAATTAAATGGCTCGTTTAACTCAACAAAACAATGGTTATTATGCATATAAGCAGAAGGGAGTAATGGTTATTATGTATACTATCATTTTGGAATAATGGTTATTATGTATATAAGCGGAAGGGAGTTAACATAATGGTTATTATGTATATAAGCGGAAGGGAGTCAATGAAAGTCATGTAATTTCAAAATGATATATACCAATAAATTCGAGAAGGGGTGAGTAGAATAGTCCCACATCGTAGAGTTTCAAAAGTTAATGGGTTTATAAGCGATAGCTTGACACGTGTAGGAATGTGCAGCTCAAAACACGCTTTAGAGAATGGCCTGGAGCATTGGCGGTAGTATTGTCGAGTCTTGTGATGAGGTCTTTGACTCCATTCTCACCAAAGGGTAAGGGCCCAAAGCCCCACTGACTTACTACTTAAGAGAATGGGCTGGGGCCTTAGCAGTAGTACCAACAAACCTTATGATGAAGTCTCTAACTCCATTCTCACCAAATGGTAGGGGCCCAAATCCCCAATGACTTATCCTCTTTTTTTTATAAAAGATACATGAGTAGTGTGAGGACCAAGAAGGAGCACGTGTTATGATGGGTGGTGCAATAAATGCCTATGTGAGGAGTGGGTTTAACATTGATGATGCACGTATTGGGCCTATGAGTAGTGGGAGGACCAAGAAGGAGCACGTGTTATGATGGGTGGAGCAATAAATGCCTATGTGAGGAGCAGGTTTAACATTGATTATGCACGTACCGGACCCACTTTTCAAATAAAATTTAAAAAATTTCACGACTTCCAAAAGAAAAATTCAAAACAGGTTGATGATGTCATTACGAAGTCGATGACATCATAACCGGTTATGTAAGAGAACTGTACGGACCGGTTTGGACCGGCCGGTTCTGCGGGGGACACGGTCAAATCTTGTTTCATTTGAATAATCGGAACGGTTCCGATGATACCCAATCCAGATCGGGCAAATCCAAATCAGCACAGCGATTTTTCAAACCTTGCTTGAGAGCAGCAAACAAATCGAAATATATTTAACCCCAATTTTTATAATTAATGATTATCGATTTTAAGCTGAAATATACATGAATTGAGTCCAAAAAACATGTAAAGAGCACCCCCTAAATCTAATCCTTTAACATTCAAAACAAATAAAATCATGGCATGAAAATAGAATTCATCCACAAAATGGTTCTAATTTGATGCAGGGAGAAAATAAAACTGAAATTAAAAAAAAAAGAAAAAATAAATAGTTGAGAGAATATACCCTCTCTCAATATCTGCAAAGGAATCCACCCCAAAAACGATCTTTTCATAAGATCAACTTTACCCGATTTATATCTTTTCACAAGATCAACTTTTCTCAATTCTCATTCTTTGATCATTCTCTAAACCTTTACAATGAAGGGACATCTCCCTTTAAATAGACTTCAGAAGAAAAAAAACCACAAAGATAATTCTCTCTCTTCTACGTACTTTCCCCTATTTTATCTTTCCTCCCTATTTTCTCTCTTCCTCCTTTTTTTTAGTTCATTTAAATTTCTCTCTACCCATCACATGGAGCCCTTTGAATCAAGGAAACCCCTATCTTCACATACTCCCCTTATCCTTCACATATCTAAATCCCCCTTAAATCACTCACAGAATCTAAGAGAAGCTTAAAAAAGTCCTTCGCATATCTAAATCCCCTTTAAATCTCTCACTAAATTTAAGATAAGCTTAAATAAACTCCAATGTTTTTTTGCATCATTCTCCCCAAGTTGGGAGAAGCTCGACCTCGAGCTTTATAGAACTCAAATATTTTAAAAGCCTTCTCAAAAGTTGGTGATGTAGTCCCACCATACGCCTCGACACCTTTTCTTCAATTTCTTCATTAAGCTGATTCATCGAATGCTTTGTGCTTATCTCGAAGTAGAACACAGTGATCTCGGGCTCAATCTTGATTTCTCCGTCAAACTCACTTGATTGAATTTTGAATACTGCATCACACATATCTTCTTTTTTCATATTTGATTTTCAAATTTTCTTCTTCTTCTTCGCAATTGATATTCGAAATTTCTTGCACATTTGGGTAATCTGTGTTGCCTTTCGTATTGAGACCTACCTCTTCATATTCTTCTTCATCTTGTTCCGATTATAATCTACGAAATAAATTCGTAGACCTTGTTCTACTACTTTGCTAATGCACTCTACTAGGTCTTCTTTGAGTCTCTCAACTCTTTAATCCAATTACTGAAACCGTTGATTCATGTCACGAACTTCGTTTCGAACATCTTCTAAGATCTCAAGGCTCTCCATATCAGCACGGATCTTAGGGCTCTGATACCAATTGATGCAAAGAGAAATAAAACTCGAATAAAACAATGAAAAAATAAAATGGTTGAGAGAATATACCCTCTCTCAAAGTCTGCAAGGGAATCCACCCCAAATAACTATCTTTTCACAAGACAACTTTACTCATTTTAAATCTTTTCACAAGATTAACTTTTCTCAGTTCTCATTCTTTGATCCTGTACAATGAAGGGACATCTCCTTTTAAATAGACTTTAGAAAGGAAAAAAAAAAAAGATAATTCTCTCTTTTACATACTTTCCTACTTTATCTCTCCTCCCTATTTTCTCTCTTCCTTTTTTTTAGTTCATTTAAATTTCTCTATACCCATCACGTGGAGTCTGTTGAATCAAGGAAACCCCCATCTTCACGTACTACCCTTATCTTTCACATATCTAAATCCCCCTTAAATCTCTCACTAAATCAAAGAGAAGCTTAAAAAAATCCTTCACATATCTAAATCCCCCTTAAATCTCTCATTAAATCTAAGATAAGCTTAAAAAACACTAACTCACACTAAGATTTACCTTTCCTAATTAAAAATAAAAAAAATACATCAACACCAATGTTTATAAAATAAATAAATAAACTCCAATGTTTATTTGCATCATAATTAAACAAGTATTGAAAAAAAATTCATTTTTCCTATCTACAAAAACCTTTCCAATATTATTTTCAAACCCAAATCTGATAAATTTCGTAACTGATAAACTACTATCACAAGAACAAATGTATAGACTCATCCAAAATTTAGAGAAGAACCAAGAGAAATTACACATCCTAAAGTTATGTTAATGAAAGTATGCCCCGATAATATGATTCTGGTGGAAAATGTATAAATTAAATGTACAATTATATAAAACTTCAATAAAATGAACTAAACATTTTAGCTCATAAAAACCATTGCCATCCTAGAGAAAATGAAGAAAAGGAAAATTCAAAACAAGGAGGCCATGGGATTACTTTTAAGAGTGCAGTTGCAATAACAGACTCCACATAACAAAATCATATCCAGACAACTGCAACAAGCTCAATATTTCTTACCCAGATTGCCTGGCTGTGAAAACTGTTCTCTTTCCAAAAACAGGAGGTTCCTGCACGATAACAACAGTGAAGACCAAGATTCTCAAACAGCTAAAGAAATATGCAATGATTTTAACCATCAGAACAGAATAACATTTACATATTTATAATATTATATTCCACAATTGCCGATTTGAGGACCCAAATACTGGCATACTCCGATAAATCTGAGTAATACATCAAAAACTAGCAATCACACATTTTCTATGCATTTGTAAAGAAAAAGAAACCACTATATGACCATCAAAGTTTATATTGCATTATAGTTGGGAGGTTCCGCAACAGATGTACTTAATTTTAGTATCATTTGGCTCCAAGTTGGCCATGACATCTCCATTTCTATTCTACACCGTTTCTACTTCACGAAATGCTTTTAATAGAATGTTAATCATGAAAAGGAAAAACAGTTGGCCATGGTAGTCATGAGTACAATCCATGCTCCTAATAATACAAAAGTCAAATAATTGCCGTCAGGATTATAGGCATACCAGCCAGAGAGGCCCATTTATACAAATACACTAGATAAGAGTAAAACTTGGGGAACATAAATAAGAACTGTAAAATCAAAAGTTTCTAACTTAAATTTAAGTAAGAAAATCATGGTTTGAAAGATTCTTTAGAGCATTTTAAACTTGTATAGACTTAATAGCCTGAGAAGGAATAAAGCAAACCTCATAAGCAAGCAATAATGAACTATCACTAGAGATTATGAACTATCTGGTGCACTTGGAGACTAAATTGGTGATCTAGCAGTGGAAATCAAGGCATCCGTCATGAATTCAAGGACAACCTTCAGCAAGTCTTCCTTATACCTTGCGATAGAAAATCATGAATTCGCACATCATTATGTAACAAAATGAGTTCCACATGTCATACAATGTCATTTGCAATCTATTCTAGTCCCGTCATCTTGGGCTCGACTCCTACCTTACCCACCACAGGAAAACGGAACTACTTTCAGGCGAAGGTGCAAAAAAGATTCCACAAAAGCAAGCCTAGGAGAGAAAGGATAGAAACAACAAACTAGCAATTCCATTTTTGCAGGGCACGAATTTCTATTTAGAAATTACTATATCATAGCACTTTCCTTGGACCAAATAAAGGACTGTCATAAAAGAGACCAAGAAACACTCTTCAAGCACTCTACAAAGCCGCACTCACTAGCATGTAACTTAAAAGTTGAAAATACAACATCAAACAAAGCGAAATTATGAACCGATATACAACAAAATAGATGACCTTAAATGATGAAAGGGCGAACCCTGATAAACGGCAGAAGTATAGCATACACAGGCTGTGCAGGCTCTACAATGCACAGCCAGTTAACCATCATCCATCCTGCATGGCAGACAGCAGAGATAAATAGTTCCCTTCAAATAACTGCCACTGTCTGTCAAACAGAATTACGATTAATCTTCACCTTCCTGTTCACAAGAATGGGCTGTGGATGGCATGTATCTAGTTGTATCGCATATACAGCCAGTGTATGCTAAATTTTCCCCTAAAATCATTCCTCATCGACAAAGGACTCCATACTTCACTTACTTCATATTCTTCAAATTCATAGTCCTCAATCATGACAAAATTCGGTCTGACACTTGGGGGTGGACGAAGCAAATCTTGAGCCTCTTCCCAGGTAACCTTCAATTCCAAAGCCTCCTCATGGTCTATGAGCAACCTCTTGCTTTTGGAGCCAATGTTACGAGTTCTCTTCTTCTCTAGAACTTGAACGGTTGACCTGCTTCCATGCTTCTCAGTTTTATACCAGTCAGTATCAGATGAATTCAGTTGCTCTGTCAAAGTATTGAGTGGATCTACATTTCCCTTTATCGAATGGAGAAGATCAGAGTACCCCCCAATAGATGATAGATTCTCGATAACTCCAGATACGTAAGTTTCTTGGGAAACCACACAATTTGTGCTTGGAGAAATGTGAGTCTCCTTATTCAAAAATAAATCAAAGGAGTTCAGTTTGGAGTAGAGGGAAACAAAGGTTACACTAAATTGTAAATTGGTGCACATATAAAGCAATTTACCTGCATAGATGTGGTACTTGTTGCCTTCCGAAACCCCATAACAAGCTTTCTTTCAGGATCTATCCGACTAAAAGTTACTGCAGAAGAGACATATAAGTACATAACAATATTGCATTCACAATACAAGCATGTACCATACGAAGCAAAAGAAATCATTTTCATCCAAAAACAAGTTCTTCTATTTACATGTTCTTGCACAAAAAAGGAAAAGTTCCTCCTATGAAACTCGAAGAACAAGGTATGGAATGTTGGGTCTACGAAGTCTCACAACATTCCCATTACACAATAATAAAGTATGCCATAATGCAATAGACTCTGGAAAAAACATACATAAACTACAGATATCATCTAATTAGTTAGACTAGGGGCAGAAACCACCCAAGGCTATGTATTAGCATCTAAATCACCTGTATCACCAGCTTGCAACTGCATAGACTGTATGCATGGTGTTACTCCCTCCAAAACATACATTCTGCTATTGTTATTAGGCCAGAATCTAAATTGGAAGACCCACTCCTTCCCTTTTGCATCTTGAATCTTCAGTGGAAGCCCTTCTGGTTGAGAGATTGGAGGAAAGTATGCCTGAATGCATCAACCATGATAATTGATATGGGAACATAACTTCTATTCATGCAAGTCTTTGCATGATATACTCTAATAACAAAATGAGATTCAGGTGTCTAAGTGCTATGCTGGTAAGTGGCTATGCTATTGAGATAAACAAAACTGAGCTAAACACAGTAAACCCCCATATAACAAAACTGTTTTTACTTCATAGTTCTCTCTTACATAACGCTCTAGGACGCCATTTGGACTGCTCAACAACTCCATCAAATAGTGGAGTTATCAGGAAATATGTGAAAAGCATGTTTCTTTTTTCTTTTTTAATAGGTTGTGGGAGTTTTGATGGTGCTTCATAACAAGTCGGGGTAGATTAGCCCCTAACCATGATTCATGAAGTGGAGAAAGCTATGTCTTTCAACACTCCTAAATGAATGCGAGAGTACACAATCTTATTTTGTTAATGAATATCCACCCAAACGTGCCTCAGAGTTTATCTCTCTCCATATGTTTAGTGGTATCCATAATGAAACACAAGTTTTGATAGAAGCCATACTATAATCAAGTGGACTATAGTAAACTAAAAGTTAATCAGGGGTCTTTATCAATCAAATGATGGACGGAATAGAAAGATAGCAAACCAACAAACAGGATATAACCCCAATATTGGTTCCCACTCTTTCCATCACAGTCCATCTTTTCATCCCATGGACTATGGTTTCCATCCATTAAGTTCTAGTGCACTTTCCCTTGGATCATAAAGTTTAGTAACCATAAACTTATAAACAGAGGATATCCCTGTCTCCAGCATAGTTAAAGCAATAGGAATGTTGATAAACATTTGGCTGTTGTACTTGTTTGCATCAGTGTTTGTTTGAATTTCCATAAAAAAGGGGCAAAGTGTGTTTAGGGTCAAAGTTTTAGTAACCATAAACTTATAAACAGAGGATATCCCTTTCTCCAGCATACTTAAAACAATAGGGATGTTGATAAATGTTTGGCTGTTGTAGTTGTTTGCATCAGTGTCCATTTGAATTTCCATAAAAAAGGGGTGCAATTGTATTTAGGGTCAAAGTAAGTATTTCTAAGTTTTTTGGAAACTGGCAGTCTTTCCTGTGTGCATGCACACTTAACAGGGCATAAAAGGTCGCTTCTATAAAAGCCGCCAACAAACAGTTCCAAAATCACCTAAGATCTGCCAAAACTCATATGGCACTCATTTCCAGACAAGCCCTTAGAGAAACAGGTACACATAAAACCCAATACATGAATAAACTGAGCTACCATCAAAGCTCAACTCAGCTCCTGTAGAACTTACTTCAGCACATGCTTTAGGAAGAACCAAACGACCAATCCGCCCTGCATCACTTGCACTCAAAACCTTCTCAAATAAAGGAACAATTGTAGAGTTTGAACTTAAAGATCAGAGTAAAGGAAAACCAAAAGAGCATGTCAATTGAAAATTGTAGACATAAAGAGCATCTAAATCAAAAGATCTAGGAAAAACATCACGACATTTCCTGGAATACCTTCACCGTTCATGCAGATGGTCCAGCAATTTGAACCATCATAAAAATACATGGCCTACTCAAAATTTTGAAATAGCCATTTTACCCCTTCACCCTCTTAGTTTAACTGTTCATCTTAACTTGTGAAACACATGATCAGGCTAAAGTAATTGTTTAAGTTTTAGGACACATCCTTAAGTTTTGATACATCCAGGTGCAATCTTGATATTTCAAGTTTATGGTCCACATGCATGATCTATTCAAGCAGTGTTTTAAGAAATGGATCGGTGAGGTAATTGTCCACCCACCAATCCCAATCCGAATCAGCAGAACCGGCAATCTGGATCGGCCGGATCAGTGGCCTAGGAAATTGAAAAATAAACAAATAAACTAAATATATATAATATGTAACGTGTTTGTTACAATACTTGAGCCAAAAGGCAAGTTGGTTAGACCTGCAGTTGAGCAGTAAGAGGTCAAAGGCTCCATTCCCCCCATTTTTCAAGGCTCACAGAAAAAGAAACATAATTCTTTTCTTTAAAACCTCACTCAGGTCCAAAGGTGATACGCACTAACCACCAGCCCTTTGAGTTTTATGTTATAGAGAATCTACATTATAATATATATATCACATAAAAAACACCGATCCAACCCAAGAACTGGATCAGTGTCGAATAACTTCCAATCCCGATTGGCGATTTCCGATTCGGATCGGTGATTTTTTAAACATTGTATGCAAGTGATCTGGTCATGTCTTGATATTTAACAAAATTCTACATTTTATGCCAATGTGAAATTCTTTAAAAGCTTATAGATCGGCGATTTTTTAAAAATTGTATTCAAGTGATCTAGTCATGTCCTCAATATTTTCGAAAATTCTACATTTTATGCCAATGTGAAATTCTTTAAAAACTTATAATCAATAAATAGTGGATACTCTGCTGATATATGTTGCAGTTCTTGATCTGTAATCCTTGGCTAAAGTAATTGTTTAAATCTTATACAAATTGACATGTCCAGGTACTGTCAAGATATTTTAAGTTTTTGACACATCCAGGTGCAAACTCGATATTTCAAGTATCTGGACCACAAGCATGATCTATTCAAGTGCTCTGGTCATGTCCTGATATTTTCCTAAATTCTACATGTTATGCCAATGTGAAATCCTATAAAAGCTTATAATCAATAAATGGTGGATACTCTCCTGATATTTGTTGAAGTTCTTGATCTGTAATCCTTGGCCAATATCTTGGAAGCAACTGGTTTCTTCCTCTTCCATCACCAGGTGGCCGTGCTATACGTATATGTGGAACCGTGTCCTTTGATGAATCTGAGCCATTGTTGAAGCTCGTATGAGGTGGCTTAGGCAAAAGGTGGCGAGACCTTTGGCCTTGCTGATAAGATGGGGTTGCTCTATTCAGTTCTTTTCCATCCACTGTCACATTAGGAACAGGAAAAGCAAGATTTGGGGTGCCTGGCATACTGTTTGCTTCCACTATATCACCCGTATTACAAGCTCCCAAAGAGATACTTAAGCATGCATTGAGTGAATCACCTGTTTCCCTCTCTCTATCACTCAAGACATCAGTGTGAGAATCTCGTTTAGTCAGTTGAGGAGAGGAAACCGGCACTTCACTGGTAACTTTCAAACTCATACTTCTTGAATCTCCACCAGAGGTGCCTTGCTCTCCTTTGATCTTTCCAAGAGATCCATTTGTGTTATCTGACTGTGCTGGAAGTGGAAGCAAGCCCTCCTCCTTCATGGAGTCATTCGTTTGTGCAACTTTTGAGGTTCTCGCAGGTAAACTTAGTACCCCTTGAGTAGATTGCAACATGGGCATCTGTTGCACTTGACTGTCAATCTGCAAGTATCAGAGATAAGCTCACTTGTTAGATTAGATTTGTATCACAATCAATACAAATAATTACATATAGCTCGTACATTGTACACACCAAGTATCAAAGGAAGACAAAAAAAGCAAGGTTATGACAATAACAATCAAATGTAAACCATAAATTGCATCAATCATAAAGATATAAGATCTTACAGAAGGTAGGGTTGGACTCTTGGAGCACTTAATGCATGATACTCCTCCAGAATCAAGCATCTCAATTGAAGATTTTGAAACAATGCATCCACAATGGACATGCTGTCATAGTTATTTCATCAAATCAGAGACCCAATAAGCATAAAGAAATTATAACATGCAACAATAAAACCTATCTTACCTTATTACAATAACGGCACTCCCTCCAACCAGTTTCTTTCGAGTGAAAAATGTCGCAAAAGATCCTTTGCTCATATGCAGAACTGAGGCAAATGCAGTTAAAACTATCAAATGGAGAACTGAGAAAAAGAACACAAATTTATACATATATATATATATATATATATATATATATATATATATATATTCATTCATAAGTTCTTGAGTATTAAAGTCATCCCTTGTATGAGAAATTATAATGGTAATCGTCATGAAGTATTGAATCTAGAAAGCATATTTGCATCAAGAACCAAGAAAGAGAATGCAGATCTATACATCTGCTTAACTATGAAATTGAGAAGCAATGACGTTAAATTGTGTTCAAGAATTGAATCTAGAACCATAATTAGTGCACAGCTAACTCCCCAAAACAAGAATATCACAGGAATTCTTTATATTACAATATTCATGCCACAGATGCATAAACAATCAAAATGTTCGAAGGACGTTTACAGAAGACCAAGTTACTCTATGGCTGACTTCACTAACAAGAAGGCCGTCCTTTTTGGTTAGTTCGTTTCAAAAATAATATGAAACAAGTCAAGAAAATCCAATGGCCCTTTGAAGTTTCAAAACCTCTAGAAATATGAGTGCAGTGCCCACAAGTCTACAACTTCAACAATGAACCCCAAAACTATGGCCCCCATTATATACCACCATATTATGGGCCTCTTGATGCACTGAATGAATCGCAAAAACAAAGGAGGGCAGACAAGGTCTAGCTAACCTAAGACATCAATATGCATCATTAAGGAGATGTATCACTAAGTGCCTGATAAAGGAGGCTTGAGATACAAATTTCAATACAGAGGGGCCAAAAAAAACCACCTTGTCCCCTAGAATAATGCTCAAGTCACCATAATAGATGGGTTGGCACAATCTTTACTGCAAGGGCATGCAGTGTATAGTCTTATATGTATGGTGATGTTAATAAAGGATTGCAGTATAATAGGCCTCACAATGGATAGATTATTATTATTTTTTATAAACCACAATTTTGTTTGTTTTTAACAATGAAAGGAATTTATTATGTGTCGCCCATTAGCACTAGGTCTTTCTTTCTAAAACTAGCCATTCAGAAAAGTCATGGTCCATTCACGAAAACCTCAAGGCTGCAAGTCCCTATGCCAGCAAATAAGAACCTAACTGTACCTTGCCAATCACTCGCTAAGGTACAAAATTAGTTACTAGCTACACAGGACTGTGGAAATGAACAAGTCTCAACTCTCAAAAAGTGAAATAATGAAACTTTGGCCTCAAATAAAAGTGCCAATCGGAATAGAACTGTAGAAATCATACTGTGGACATCATACTGTGGCACCCTACCACCGTGACCACGGAGGACTAGAGGCCATTCCTTGTGAACATAAATTATTTACTAATCAAAAAAAGTATTAAAGTCTGACATCCTTCCCCAAAGTTTGCTGAATGTCAAAATAGGAGAGCTTGTTTAATAAACCAGTGTCATGTGGAACTCATGGCCTACAGGCCATTGCTAAGCTGTTCGCAGATTCATGGAATTATGAGGAAGTGTGATATACTGATATCATAATATCACCAGTGAGACACTTGCAGAGAAGATAATGATTAAACCCAGTATGCCTCAGCTGTAAATGAAATAGGAACATAGAAATAGAACCCAAGTTCTAAGAACAGAGAGGCATTAGAGTCGAAATGTGTAAACCTAGCCACAGGTGATGTATGAGTGAAGGAATTCAAACAATCTCATTAGAAACTAAGGACATCACCTGACCTAGAAAATATCTTGTTTCCTACCCTTCCATGATATGAGAGATGTGGCAAGAAATACACAAGACACAGTTAATAAGAAATACGAATGGGACTAAGTAATCCATCCAACGCTTCATTCTGGTCAAAGGTGCCTAATGATCATATGAATCCATGAACTAAGTGCATGAATTGCATGCATAAGGCCATCAACCAGTTGCCACACATTGTGGAATCCATAACATTGGAAGCCATCAGTATATGGTACTTCATACAGAACTCGAGTAAAATGTCAATGATCAAAATGTTTTCAGATGCATGCGAGAGATGAGATTTTAAAGGTATTTAGTTACAAGGAACATGTAACATCATCCAAGAACCTCCAATATCCCACAAGGAAAATATCTACAAACAAAACATAGACACCCTCCACATGAATCAGAAATTGAAAACTGCACCTAAGAATATGGCTTGATGATCATCTCCCTAAATGACTGTATCATCCACATAGACAAGAGTTATGGCTACCTCGCTAGAGAACTATGTCGCAAGCAACATTTATAGAGCAGACTGCTCCACTGTCTAAAACAATTTGCAATTATGGAGTCACAAATTTCTCAAACTGAGAGTGATGAACTTGTTTGAGACCATATAACATCTTCTGAAGGATATAGAAAAAGATGATATGTGGTATTTACATAATGATATCTTCAAAAAAAGGTGGATGCTTTGCATCCATTTGAAACAGTTTACTTCTTCACATCTGCGAAAGCCATTAGTACCCCAATACTAGTAACCTCTCCATCCCATAACCCATGCCACACTCCTATCAATACAGCTTGGCTATTTCATAAGGCCTTAAACAAGCACCTTCTGCTTCAGTGGAAAATTATCATAAACTTGTGGAATCATTTCAGCTTCAATTTAGCTGCACGGCTTGTTCTCTGTTTTCTTCTTTCTACATCCCATTTGAGCGACAAAATTTCTATTTATGGCTATGACACAATCATCTACACTAATAATCACTATAATGTGGAAATTTGAGCATTATTATTGAAACTCATTTCACATGAAGAATATTTGACAACACTATCTCTTGACCTTGAGATTCCCTTGTCATTTGAGGGTTTCTGTACTTTGCAACACAGATATAAGATAACGGATACCCAAGTTGAGTGATGTGATCATGAGGGTCTATCAGTATCATTATCAGCCCTTCCGAAGCTCCATAATTTAGGCGAAAAACTACCAATCTAGCCAAATTTAAAATCCACAAACAAAAAGGATAAAAGAAGGACCATCCATTTATTTATATGGCAATCAATTCTAACAAAAATATTTGTGGTTTATTTGCCCCTCGAATAAAACATGAACCACCCGAAAAAGAAGGGGAACAGCAAAAACTCTTTATACATATACACAGAAATCTATCCTGCATATAAGTGTCTAGAACAAATTGGTGGCATCAGATATGAGAACTCAAATCTAGAGTTCACATAAACCCAATGTTTTCTTTTCTTTAGCAGTACAAAATCCATGAAATTGAAAAGCAACAAGAAACAGTCATTAACCCCAAAACAAATCAGGAAAAGAAAAACAAAGACATGTTCAATTGCTTGTGTTGCAAATAGAGAGATAATTTACAGTTTCCATAGTGATTCCAAGCTAATCCAAGAGTTGAAACCTCATAAATATCATACAAAAAAATCCAAAAAAAATAAAAAAAGGAAAGAAACATGACTTTTTCCTATCGTGATTTGACAAAATGAAAGAAAAGTTTCAAGAGATTGTTACATACCCACATGTATCACAGAGGTCTGCAACACCACCTGAACGCAGTGTCCACCCTTCCCTCCATTTGCTTGTTGTAGTCGTCCCGCAGGTCAGATTCATACAAACTTTGGAACCCATCTCTCTCTCTCTCCTTCTCTCTC